CTCGACGACTTCACGCAATGGCCTCGCATCAGCCCCCAGCAGAAGGCAGTGACACCTCTTTCTGGGCCTCGGTGTACACGGAAGAACCCGCCAATGTACTATGCGGGGTTCTTACTGACCTCAACCTCCACCGTTTCACTTTACACCAACACCTCGCGACCAACGACGCCCTCACTGCAACACCACTCCTTCACCCACCTTTCCAACAAGCCCTACCATCAGCACTTCACAACCACATCCAACTCTACACCACCAGCCTCAATCAGGTCAACATCCACCTCCGACGGGCCCTTAATGCCCTAGATGCTTGGACGTCACCCACCGAGCACTTACCTTCGCGACCCAGACACCACAGCTGACGATGATTCAGCATCCGAAATCCTTTTCCCAACCTTCACCGATCTTCAACCTGGACAACATGTTCGCCTTCCCCCAGTCATCCGCCACCAACTACACACTTTCCAACCTGGCACTTTGGTTCTGCAACACAATTCCACGCAGACCACACCCACACACTTCACCACTCACCGCACCCAGCAAACCGACAGCATTCTTCCACCTCTTCGCTTCAATGAGGAGCAACAAACCACACCCAGACCGGAACATTGTCAGATCTCCACTCAGACAGACAACATCGACACTCACGCCACTGTACAAACAGACATTCATGCCATCGTCCGCTACCCTGCATTTGCCATGCCAAAATCACCACAACCCACTCCATCCTCTCACTCTACTCCCTCACCAGCACCACCAACAGCCAACATTACCTCTGCGGCAAACAAGCAGCCCAATCCGGACCAGAAGCAGCCCCACCTGGACCAGGGGCTCCCCGCAGACCAGGATCCACGCTGACTTGATTCCCACTCCTGTTGTGGAGAACCCCCCAGCCCCAGCGCATCCATCTGACTTCACTTCCCCCATTGGGGGTACACCCCCCCCGCACCCGCTCAAAGACACCTCCACGTTCCACCACGGCCTATCACTCAACCGAGCCACCAAGCTTCCCATTAAAAGCTTGCAGAACATCGTTAGCATAGGGGCAGCTGTCGCGCGCTGACTCTCTCTGCGCAGCCAGCAACTGCCGCAGAACAACCACCTACAACAACCTTACCAACTACATCAAGCCCTCTCTACCCTCATACACCACAGCCAATACATCGAACGCGCAGAAGCCATCTTTGCTGTTGGCCTCATCCATATCGCCCTCCTCTTTTGCTACCCATCCTCCACCCAACGATCTCAACAATGGCGCCATCGCTTCCAACACCTCCATGTGCTTCCCCATACCTACCACTACCACAACTTCTTGTCCCCCAATTCCGTCTACGTCAAACTCTACTTCAACCCCATCACACCACAACGCTGCTACCATCAGCATGGCCACTTCTATGTGGGTTCCACTGCCATCGGCATTCCACACCGAGAGCACAACCGTCGTGCCAAGCTCAAGCAACTCCAAAACAACATTCCAGTTTCCGCGGAACTCTCCTTGCGCTACTGGCACTCTCATGACAACATCCACCACTTCACTCCCATCCAACTCTCGTCCCACGACAACTATGACCAAGCCTGGATCCGAGAGCACCACTTCATTTCCAATTGGATGCCACCTCTTAACTTTATCTCCCAACATCTCAAGCTCAAAGCCGAAGGCTGGCAGTTTACCAAACACAGAGCACATTTCTACTCTCGCCTTGCCACTCACAAGAGACTATTTCGCAAGCTCCGCAGAAGACAACAGACCATCCGAGAACCCTACCTTTTTACCTCTACAAAACAGCATGCCCTCACTCTCCTACGCAATCTTACAAAACACACACTGGCTTCCTTTGAAGCAGCCAAGCAACTTCGCAGCGGCAAACACACTGATCTGGAGGTATACGCTATCCGACGCATGGCCTCCAACCTTGAAGAGCCGGCCCGTACAAGCCCTACACATTATCAACAAAGCTCTTCATTACCGCAACCTGACACCTCCCAAGCCCAACCTCCCTCTTACAGTACCTTTCCTGGCTCATGATGACTTCACCAAACACTGCCAGCAATGGCTCCAAACCACTATCCAGCAACACAAACATTTGGCTATCCCACTCCATCTTCCCACACACCGTTTACGCGAAGCCGCTCATAAAACACTCCGAGCACACCTCCACAACCACCGCCACTGGGAGGACACATTGCGCAATTCCCCAGATCCCAACGACCTCCCGCGCGCGTGCTCACATCTTCGTGGTCCCGTTCTTGATCCAGACATACCCACGACCAACCACCATTACATCCTCACCCTTGATCAATTGACACTACCACCACATCTTCGCATTTTCCTCGCAGCCAATATGAACAGCACTTTCTATCCCAGCAAGGCCAAATACTTCCTCACTTTCCAAACTGCTTTCACCAAGTGGCTTCGCACCCAAGGACTCCCCACCTCCCTTACACAGCACTTGGACCCTTTGCTCCAGCATCAGCGGCGACTCCGCACCGCGCACCTCAAACAACACCCACGCTTCACCGCTCGCCTCCTCCGCCAACTCCAAGAATATTTGGGAGATCAAGTTGTGCTCCACCATGCAGACCACGAACTACAACCGCTCCGCATCTTCTGTCCACGCCAATATTTCACAGGAGCGCTCAACACCTGGCAGGCTCCAGAACTTTTCGAACCCCTTCCACACCTCCACTCCTCCAATATCCACGACTACCTCTCTGCCACCATCCCCACCTGCCTGCGTTCCAAATACAAATGGGGATTCAGGAAGGATTTCACCATCCCATACGGCATTGCGCACCTCAAAGAAAAGAAACAATGGCAGAAAGGACGCGCCATCATCTCTTACTTCCACTCACTCAGCGGCAACCTACTACACATCACCAGTCGAGCACTTGACATCATTTTGCAACACCTTTTCCCACAGCATCCAGGCCAGATGTCAATCCCACAGCTTTGGCGCCACTTCCACTGCTATCTCACGCACACACCAGCTGACGTCCCTTTGCACGCGACCAATGACGACCTTGTCGGTTTCTTCAATTCCGTCCCCCCAGCACCGACTCCTTGACGCCGTCCATTCTATGATCCAGCAATGGCAACGCCAGACCAATACACACACTCTCACGGTCGACACCAAAGCCACTGGCAACCCCTTCCACCACTCCCATATTGGTCGACATCACACCAAACATCCCACACAACGTACCCTGCACACCCCTGACATCACAACCATTGTCGCCTTTGCACTCAGCACCTGTATTTTCCAGGCATGCAACAACACCTACAAACAAATTCGAGGGGCTGGGATTGGCTCCCAACTCTCTCCTGCCCTCTGCAACGTCGCCATTACCCTCATTGAACATTCTTGGCACCAGCTTCACAACAACCTTCTCCAACACACTGCTCTCCACTTCACATACTACAGGTATGTTGACAATCGCTTCATCGTGCACAACGAACAATTTCTCTCCCACCCAGCCATTCAGACCCTCATCCACCACAACTTTTTCGGCGACCCAGTCGAACTTGAAACAGTGGATGACTTCCACCTCTTGGGCTTCAACATTGACCTCACACAACGAACTATCACCTACATCCAACCCACCCAACCCTGAAAAATCAGGGACCACACCAGCGCCGGTAGCCAGCGCTTGGCTCTTTCCGGCTCAGCTTCCAGACTTCATGCCATATACACATACACTTTCCCACCACAACAAGCCGCGGCAGCCGCAGATGAGCTTATCCGGCTTTATGTCCACAAAGGACATGACCTAGCAACGTGCCGGAAGTTTTTGAAGAAAAAAGACCGACCATTCCGCCTTCAGCAGTAGCGCCGAATTTCGGCCTTTTGTGTGTGTCAACCCCTGTTCCAAAGGGTGCCGTCAGCCACTTCCTTTTCACACGCAGGGGGCCAGCGGCTGACAAGCAAACGCTGGCTAACAAAGCTATGCTTGTCGGTGGATGCACAGTCTGATCAACTGTGTGTACCTGCGACCAACTTTTGCACAAGCTGTCCAATCTGATCGGTTTTGCTTTCATGGTCCTTCATGCTACCACCCCAAAACAGGTTTCCCTCCGCAGATCTGCAGCAGCTTAGCCGCCGCTTTGAGTGCCACTGAAAACACGTGTAAACAATACTGTTGTCGCCGACTCTTTCACCTTACTGTTCCCTCACCTTCCTTCTCATCGTGGGAATTGAGTTAACAGCAAACCAATGTCAGAGTGTGTGTGCGTAACCCTTGGAGTCACAGGGAGCCTTTTGGAACTTTATGCAAGGGGGGCACGCAGCCATGATGCAAACGAATGCCAACGAAGCTATGCGTGATGGTGGATGCCAGGCCTGTCAACCTGGTGTACCTGCTACATGTTCATGGTGAGCGCTGAAACAAAATCGTCACCCCTACTTCCGTTTAGCCTCGAGGCTGCTTAGGTCAATGTCAGGTCTGCAAACATGCATTTGTCGGTTTGCTCACTGGACTTCAGGAATTCACCTATACAGACGGTTAGACCGCCTTACATACTACCTGATATTTACTCAGGTTGCTTTTTTCCCCGAGGCTTCTTGGCTTGGTGAGATCGAACGCTTACAGTAATATCAATGTGTGCCCGTAGTTGCCGTGGAGCACTGACCTTGCGGGTGAGGCGACACTGTAACACCCAAGCAATGAGTTTGCTTGTTGCTTTGCTTGTTGCTTCTTGCTTTACCTTTTGCTTTGCTTGCTCTCTTCCCTTTCGTTGTCCTTTCTTACTGTGCCTTTTCCTTTGCATGTCCTTTTTCAATCCTGTGGATGTGTAATTTAACTTGTCTAGTCGTCCGTGTACTTTTGATCTCTGTTTATCTTTGCCTTTCCCTTTTTATGTATTGCCTGCTGCTTTCTTTTTGTTAGATACGCTGCTCTAGCTGAGCGTTGCTCAGCTGTTGCCTCTGACGTGTTTCTTTTCTCTGCTTGTTTTCTGACGTGGAATTCAAATGAATCCTGCCATACCATACCCTCCCCATCAAGGCCTTTGAATTCCGCTCTTCGCACGCGGCCATTTGGATTCAAGCTGTCGGTGTGCTCATTGAGGAAGGGATCATTCCCCTTAGCTGGAACAACATCTTAAACCTACTTCTGTTGGAAGGTTCAGGTTACCCAAATGACCAAGCCAGCCGACATGATGATAAAGCTCTGCTGCATCTAGCAATGCCTCTCGCTCCAGAAGGTCCTGAAGCGTTTGCTCAAAAAGACACCCTCGAAGCGTCGAACTGCTGCCTTTCCCTCAGTGTAGCTTGAGAGCTACTTTCTGCAGGCATGGCCCCTTTCACAAGTCTGTCCCCGTCTATGCAAAGTACATGCACACTTGTACAGTATAAAAATGACAACACTGTAAGTGTATTGAGACTTACAGTAATAAGTGTTGAAACGATTGACAGCATTTCTTGACCTCCCAAGCTCGCTCCTGCTGCTGCTTGGCTCGCTGGGCGGCAGCTTCTAAGTTCACTGCCTCGACCCCAATCGGTTGGACAGAACGAGTTCCTCTTGAGGAAAGGACCATCACTGGACCCTATAGACTCTGCCTGCTGTGATTGCTGCAACTCCTTGCGCAGTTTTTGTTCATTTGCCTCTCACATCATCAAAAAGGCGTGGCGTCTGTCAGTTCTAACTGACATGCATGCAATTGAACAACCAGCATCTCTAGCATCAAAAAGAGAGCACTGCGAAGTAAACCTCACCTCCATCTCATCACGGAGTGCCTGAGATGGATCAACTGCCAGCTTTTGCTTCATGCAAAACTGCAGAATGCTTGCCATAGCTCACTTGAAACATCAAACTGTGAGCGAGACAATCATTTCCGCTGTCTCTTGGATGTACTTCTTGTCTCCATTCTCTTCAATGAGCATCTCCTTGTGGCAGCTCTTCTCAGCCATACAGGGGAAGTGAGTTCTAGCTCTGCTCTCTTCTCGGCCTTCTCAAACTTCTGCTGCTCTATGAACATCACCTTTGCAAGGCCAACAGCTCAGCATGGTCTTCTCTCCATGTGCAACAGCACAAGAAAAATCACAGACTCAGTGGAGACCGACTTCAATGTCTGGCCTGTTGCTTATGTTGCTGTCGCTTGCGCTCCGGTTTCATGAGGTCCTGGGAGGTCTAAACTCACTTCAAAGCACTGGAGAGTTTTTGCTTCTAAAGTAACAGCCAGTGGAAAACCCATCTAGCCGTTGGTGTGTGTGTGTGTGTGTGCGCATCCTTAAAGACACCAACTCAAGCCCAGAATCCTGGCACCAAGGCTGGCTTGTACATATGTCTTCGTAACTACTCTCCATGTTCTTTTAGTCAGAACAAATGGTGCGACGGTTGATCGTTGGGAGGACATGATTTGCCCAGACGCAGAAATTGGAATTTGTTTCTAAAGTAATCCATGCGGTCCAAAGGCAAACAAAAGAAGAAAACAGGGTGCTTGCAGTCATAGGCATTCCAACAGTGGTTTGCTGTCTGCCGCGGTACAGCTATGGAAGCTATGGCTATGGGCACATGCTTGTGGGGCCTCACCACACCTGGCGAAGGCCAAAGCGGGTCGAGAAGTTTGGTGAGGCAAGTGGAAACAAACACCCATCTCAATCCTGCTTGGAAAGTTGTACACAGTGACTTCGGTCCTCACCGCCAAACTTCAGCATGCTGGAGGTGCCTCAGAAGGTGTTGCATGAGCATGCTGGAACATAATGAAACATGATTTGTTTCTAAAGCTCCAGGCCACACCGCGGGTCAGCATCGCCACGGCGCATGGGCTCTGCCTGGCAAAACAAACAAAGCTTGAAAAGCGTGAACACCACTCAGTTTCATCTATGATTCCATCAACATATGATTTGTTTAAATAGTATACAGTGCAAATACGTCTGTACATAAATATATATATATATACACAGTATATATATATAATTCATTGTGTATATGTGACATCAAACTCCCGAATCTTTTGACATTATCTTTACTTCTTGCCTTTCGAACCCGCAGTGGATCGTTGAGATCATAGGTGTCGCTCTGTTCTTTGCTGAGATTCTTGGAGCTGAACCTCAGAATAGGAACTCCAAAAAATTATCTGCTCTGAAGACTGGAAGGAACGTCTGAAGGCAACAAACGGAGGAAGTGACAATCACTTGCTTCATTGAAGCTTCCCAGGTGTGTGTGTGTGTGTAGAGCCCGCACTCCCTGCATTCTTTCTCCAGCTCAAAAATCATCTGCTTCTTCTCAGCCTCCCGGGACATACTTTTAAGGCCATTGCTATTAGGTTGGAGGCCATCGCTACAGTAGCAGGTTGGAGGCCATCAGTAGTAGGTTGGAGGCCATAGCTAGTGCAGTTGGAGGCCATCGCTAGTAGGTTGGAGGCCATTGCTAGTAGGTTGGAGGCCATCGCTAGTGCAGTTGGAGGCCATCGCTAGCAGGTTGGAGGCCATCGCTAGTAGGTTGGAGGCCATCGCTAGTGCACTTGGAGGCCGTCGCTAGTAGGTTGGAGGCCATCGCTAGTAGGAAGGAGACCATCGCTAGTTGGAGGCCATCGCTAGTACGTTGGAGTCCATCGCTAGTAGGTTGGAGGTCATCGCTATTATGTTTTTGGCAATCGCTATTAGGTTGGAGGCCATTGCTATTAGGTTGGAGGCCATGGCTAGTAGGTTGGAGGCCATTGCTAGTAGGTCGGAGGCCATTGCTAGTAGGTTGGAGGCCATCGCTAGTAGGTTGGAGCCCATCGCTGGTAGGTTGGAAACCATCGCTAATAGGTTGCAACATCGCTAATACGGTGGGAGACCATTGTTAGTAGGAGGCCATCGCTAGTAGGATGGAGGCCATCCCTAGTACCGTTGGAGGCCATCGCTAGTAGTTTGGAGGCCATTGCTACTAGGTTGGAGGCCATTGCTAGTGCGGTTAGAGGCCATTGCTAGTAGATTGGAGGCCATTGCTATTAGTTTGGAGGCCATTGCTAGTAGGTTGAAGGCCATCGCTAGTAGGTTGGAGGCCATTGCTATCAGGTTGGAGGCCATCGCTAG